CCAAAATAGAGGACTCTTCTTAGTAAAACAGGCCACTTAGCCACCCCAGCTCACAATACATGGCTAAGGGCCTTGTTCTGCTTGGTGAGTCGCATGTTTTGCAGATTTCTTCAGGCCTTAGTGGCGCCCTGCCCAAGTGTATATTCCAGGGCTAGGTACCTTCCTTGGTGCCTGCCAGGACACCCTGTTCCTCCCAATTATATATTTCACCAGCAGCTAAGACTGCTTCAGAGCAAAGTGGGCTGCCCTAACTGCTGCCAGTTTAATTTCTCATGACAGCCTCTAGGCAAGATACTTGGCCTTTGTGACTAGCCATGTCCACTCATATTATGATTGTTCCCAGGACAACTTCTCAAATACCCGAATATGCTCATGGGCCCAAAAGGCTGCTTTCTCTTAGATTCTCTCATTCACCCAGCCCACCCTCCGGTGCATTTCTGAAGACACCCTGCTTGCAGGACAACTTTTAATCCCTCGCTCCCTGGGGCGTGTTGTTGGATCACACACATTCGCTGCTTCACTGCGACCACCAAGCAAAGGAGGAGAGAGCCCACTTTCTGTTTCCAAACAGACTACAAAGTCCTTGTCCAGGCTTGCACTACATCGCCACCTCCATGGTCATACGGACTGTGGTTGTACTCAAGTTCACAGAATGTGTAAAGCACACCGCAGACAGTGGGTAGGAATATGCACTCCTATTTACACACTGCATGATGAGTGTGGAAGCACCAGTCTGACCACATCCTTGGTGAAAATAGGGGTCCCGTAAGATGCCTTGTGTCCAGACGGGTACACAGAGGAATGTTTGCAACAGATCTACATGGCCAGCTCCCAGTCCAGCCATGAGGGTCTAGCTTTGGAAATATACTGGAAGCCAATTGTGCATCCCCCCTCAAAGCAAAACGGGGGGGGGGGAATTTACATAAAATTTGCATGTATACACACACACACACACACACATGCAAGCACACACATCATTACTGCATCTCACCCTAGTGGGGAAGACTGTGGCTAGGTGAGCTGTTTGCCTGCTGCTTGGTCTGCTGTCCGGGTACTAAGTGACTAGGCCACTCCAAGGCCATTGCTTTGCCTTCTTATGGTACTTTTTCAGTGAACTGGACTTGTGTGGAATGGCCTTTCAAACAGAGGACCATCCTCTGACAGCCCTTCCTATAGAGAATTGTTCTCTGTCAGGTAGAATACAAGCCCATACTGTTACGTGGCTGTCTGTTATGCAGACATTTGCCTGCAAGATGGGTATACGTAAAATGAGGAGTTGAGACAGCAGGCATAGAAACCCAGCCCCAAATGCCCCCGTATCTGTGCTGGGTCTGTGAAAGATCTTTGTGGGCTGAGGGCACCAGGATTTAAGAAAGATGCAGGTAAATTAGAAATGGTCCAGAGGAAGGCAACAAAAATGATCCAGGGTTTGGGAACACTGCCTTATGAGGAGAAACTGAGAGAACTGGGCATGTTCAGCCTTGAGAGGACTGAGGGGGGGACATGATATCCCTCTATGAGTACCTCAAAGGCTGTCACAAAGAGGAAGGTCAAGATCTCTTCTTGCTGATGCCAGAGTGTAGGATGCAGAATAATCAATTCAAGTTGCGACAACCCACATTCAGGCTGGACATCAGGAAAAGCTTCCTCATGGTCAGAGCAATACACAGTGGAACCAGCTGACTAGAGAGGTGGTGGGCTCTCCCACACTAGAGACATTCGAAAAGTGACTGGACAGCCACCTGAGTGGGATGGTGTAAATTGATGTCCTGCAACAGCAGGGGGTTGGACTTGATGGCTTTCATGACCCTTTCCAACTACTATTCTATAATTCTGTTATTCTATCTGAATAGGAGCTTGTAGCATCTCTGGCTCAAATACTGGAGGATATGCAGCTGGCTGCATCCACACAGCCCAACGGAGAGGTTCAATCCTGTGAAGGGCTACCAGCAGTGAATGCCTGCCAGCAGCTATTTGAAGATCTGATTTGGTAACATTATCACTTGCCAAGATCTGGCTTAAAACCACCACATCCTTAACCTTCCAGTGTACTCCCCTGTGAAGAACATGCTGTGCACAAGCTTCAATCTGCAGTGGAAAGAGGGTGCTTTTGTCGCAGCCTTGGGTTCTTTCTTTCTTTTTTGTCATCCAAGAGAGGGAGCAGAGGGACAGGATGTGGTGGTACTCAAGCAGTATACAATAGCAAATGCTCTGTGGTGTAACAATAACTTAGTCCAGTAGGCCGCATTCCAGAAAGTCTCGGCACTATGATATATTTGGTCAGGTCTGTGGGGAGTTTTAAGTGAAAAACATATGCAGAAGTATAATACATGTGGAAATATAATACTGTATTCCATGGAAGCCAGGGCAAAACTTCACTGTGGGTGGATGCTTTGACTGCGGTGTAATTCTGAAAACAGATCTACCATCTGGGCTTGCCATATGTCTGTTTACCAGGGTGGGGGACTTGTAATGAACGGTGTGTGCTGTTTTAAGCCCACTAAGGAGATGGATTGTATACCATAAAGCCACAGTTGCATTGCCTCTGAGTGATTGTGCAGATCAACATGCTTAACAATGCTTTTCTCTTGTATGCATGTTAGAGAAATCTTATTTTATTGTCCACATATAGAAACAATCTGCATTCTGGTGCCTTGTTTCTATGTGACGTGGCCTTCAGAAGTAGCAGGAATGATTCAGCCTTTCTCCTCCCATGCCAAAGGAAAACACCAATTCAATCATCATTATAATCAGCGTGGGATGAATTGTTTCATTCGCTACCAAGTGGTAAGGCTTTGTTTCCACAAGTCAGCAAACGTGCCTCCATTCTGTCCCTGCAAGCAAACAATGACTTGGGAATGCTGGGAACTGCAGGACTTTTTCTGTCTAAGGATGCATAGGATTGCATTTTTAATGTCCTGGTTGTCATTAGCTTCAGTCCCCCAAACTGAGAAGAAACTGCCAATTGGTTGTTTGCTTGGAATTTGAAGTTTGTTTTTCCTTGGAGATCTACTGCTGTCAACTGCTATCATACAGACTTTAGTTTCTACCTGCTTCATATTCTCTGTCTTTTTTGATCCTCCTGAATCAGCTACACTTTGACATTTTAATATGTTCTTGATCAGATGGGCACACATGTGCCTTGCCATACATAAGGCTAAAGATGGACACATATGCCAGTTTCCTTTTCTCTCAGATTCTTATCTTTCCAATCTTAAATTCAGTTCATCCCGAACTTTGAATTTACGTTCATATGAAATTCATAAGCATTTTTGTACATGTTTGTTCAAATGCTTGTATTTTCCCAAGCAGATTTCCTACTATAAGCATTTTGCACACTATTTTTATTATGAATAAACATCTTTTTTGGAAAACACCAGGGCAAAATTTGCAAAAGTGTGAATGTGGGTGGGTGATAACATTTCTGTTCACTGAGTAGGCTAAAAGTTTGAAATTAGCTAACTTTGCATTAAAATATGAACTCATTCTACCCCCGTTCTGCAATTTATTAATTAGTTTCTGCCATGTGGGCATTTTTTGGTGGTGGGTACCAGTAGCTATGTTACTGAGCTGTCTTCCATTGCACATGCTTCTTCACGCACACAGTGACGAGGATTCAAATACATAGCATTATGGTTCTTCACATCAGAGGTACAGGCGAAGCTTGGCTAGCTCAAGTTACGGAGGGTACCTGATGGGAAACCTATATTTGAAAAGGGTGCTTCTAACTGCTACTTCTGTTTTGAAGGGGAAGCAGCTGATTGGTGAGAAGAGGCCATCAAAGAGTGCATTTTTAATACCAACCTCCCCTCCTTTCTGTCTTGTAGTGAAGGCTGAAATCAGTGTGGAGGGCAGCTAGGAAACCCCTGGAACCTCCCCCCAGTGCTGCCTGCTTGCAGTGATGCTGTTTCTGGGGTGGAGGGAGGGGGACCAGGATGCATGCAAACACAAGCAGACAGCAGGCACTCCTTCCTCCCCTCTCGTGTCCACCCTCCTTGGCACCACTTGGGAAGACTGAAGCCACAGTGTTGCCTACAGGGAGCGGGGAGCAGTCAAAGCTGCCCCTCACTTGCCCTCTCTGCATGTGACTCCATGCAGCCTTGCTCATGAATAGGCTGCAGTATGCATAGGCTCAGTCTGGAAATTCAGAACTGTCAAGCTCAGGGATTGAGGTTACTGACAGCTCCACAGGGGTAGGCCCCTAATGAAGCATGATGCCCAATCAGCAGTCACACGAGAATGTTTCTGATCTTTCATTACATGTAAATTCCATGCTGATCTATTTAGGGGTGAACATAACTTGCTTGAGTTTATGGGAGGGCTAACAGGACCCATCGACAGTGTACAAGGATGTTTCTTGTGTTTCTTCCCATCCAAGGACGTTCACATTCTGTGCGTTCTCTTCCCCACCTTGCACAGTTTTAATATAATACCCTCCTATCTTCCCTGCAACACCTGTGTTTGCTTGCTTGTTTGTTTAGCTAATTACTCCTGGCTCAGTACACTGGAATGTGGTGTGTACATGAGAGTAAAACTTGGGGGAAGATAGGGCTTAATTTGAGCCATGGTGTGCCAGGTCTGTTTCCTGAAATCCATGTTGTGTGCCAAGGCTCAGCCCCTTTATGGACATCTTTGTGCTGGCATCTTCTGCTAAAGAAGAGCACGCTCACAGGTTCTGCTACAACTTCTTTCCAAGATTAAGGAGCACAGAGGAGAGGCCCAGCAGAGGAGCAAGGGCTCAATGGGCTTTCTAACAGGAACACTGTCCTTTTCATGATGAGAACACATTCAGCTAAAGCTATGGGGATTCTGTCAATTCGCTATGTTTGGGAGCAAATCTAATGGAGAATATTTTCCCCTGACTGCCTTTCATAGTTTCCATCACATAGATTAACTTGTTAAACTTGAGCATATCTTGACAAAAGCAGAACGTGAAATTAAAATGTAACATCCCCACTTTTGTTCTAATGCGCTATTAGGAAGGACACGCAAATCCGAACCTGTGCATCTTCATATGTGTACCTCCCTGGGTCTTTGACATTTTGGCTGGTTATTTCATAGCTGTGAGAGTCCAGATTGATGGCACTCTGGGCTCCAGGTGCTAGGAACTCTTGCCAGATATCTTCTACCCTGGTAGCTACATCTTGCAACGGCTGTTTTTTGAGATCCTGGACGGCCAACCAAAACCTGTATTGAGGCAGGAGAAGGAGTGGGGGGCGGGGAGAAGAAAGAGGAGGAAAAAAAAATCTCAGAAATATGAGTTTACTTGAGTTGCCACAGCTCAGAGTAATCCTAGTTCTGTCCCATATAGATCATCTGTTCATAGCAGAGACGAGGCAACTGTGGTTGAGTGGCAGAGCAGGTCTTGCATTCAGAAGGTCCTAGTTTTGATCCCTGGCCCCTCCAGGTAGAGCCAGGAAACACTTCTGCCTGAAACCATACTGGGCCAAGGGCCTGAACTCTCTACAAGGCAGCTCCCAATGTTCCTGGGACCCACCTTGCACAATCTTGCTTTTCACCACATGTGAGAAAGCTGTCTTCCTCCATATGCCTTTTAACATTATCAGTGCTCAGCACCACATCCTGATACAACTGGGTATGTGCACAGCACTACAAGGTGGATGTGGACATTACCCACATACGCTTTAAGGTCAACTTGGGAAATAAAGGCATCCATTTTCTCCTGCTGAGAAGATGTTTCATCAGCATCAGGCATTTATATAATGTGGTAATGATACCTGAAGGCATTCACCGTCTTTGTGACCTTGGGGCAAATCTAGGCAGAGAGCTCTGCTGAGGCAACATTGCAAGATATCAGTTGACTTCTCCATATAGAGCAATATTGTCTTCGCTGATTGACAGCAGGTTCCTCAGGGCCTGAGGCAGAAAAAAGTCTTGATGCTCTCAACTAGAGGTACCAGGGACAGCCCGGGTCCTATAGCTGCCCTGCCCCTCAGCTATAGTCCCTCCCCTTCACTTTGCTGTTTCTTTGCAGGTGGTACACTAGCAGGTGGCCAAGTTGCCCCTGGCTTCTGGTCACTTCTGCTCACTGGCTGCTGAATGTGCAACCAGCTCCATGTAAAAAAACCAAAACCAAATTCCATTCAAACCTTATTGTATGAAGGGAGATATGACAGGGCATTTGATCTGCAAAGGATCATGCACATATGCAAGTCGCCAAGTGATGACCATCTGTGTAGACCAGACCTGGGATGAGGGATATGGAAACTCAGTGGAGGCATCTGTGTGGCATATACTGGGATGGCAAGTCTTTCAAGAGCTGCTTGAGTAACACTACATGTCAAAGAGCCATGCCAATTCATCAGGTGACTCTCTCTTCTTATTCTCCATGGAGTTTTTCTTTCCTTAAGCATGACCCTCAGTCATGTTGCTAATACTGGAAAAATGTATTTTCCACTCATCTACTTATGACATCTGGCCTGAGCTTGCAAAGATTTTTCTTGCTGTACCTGCTCACACAAAAGAACGGCTTCTATATGCAGCTATTTCCTGTTCTTAACAATCTCTCGACTCAGCAAGAGGTATGAAAGCCATCTGTGACAAGCTCTGGAGGGCTGTACCACAGTTGTCTTTCAAAACCGCCTGTAGTTTGATTGACTGTCCATTCCGGTTCCCCTCCTCCATAGCCATGGCAACCAAAAAGAAAAAGCAAGGAGGAGAAGCCATTAAAGATATGGAGAACCACAACGATCAACTGTGGTGCAGACCACTCTTGGGATCCACGGTTTATGCAGATCCCGCGTGAGTGCCTGCAATTCTTAAAGAAAATGACTGGCATTTAACGCAGTCTAGATACCATCATGCAATCTCTTCTGCTGCAGATGAGTATATAACGTGGTTGGGAAATGGTAAGAAAATGAGGGTCCTAAAATGGGTGCCGTTTATTACTAATTCCTTTTTAATGGCAGTATTTTGAATATGGTTACAATTAATTTCTTTTATTTATTGAAATTTATTGTTAGGTCATCTTTATGGGTAGAATCCTCTCAAAGTGATATAGAAGAGAAAAAGAAATACCAAATAGGTAATAAGCAAACTTACCACAAAACACTATAGTTTATAATGCCATACAGATGTTTTCACTGAGGCGTTTTTATTGATGCAGTTATCTTTTAATCATGTTCCATTTTTATCTATATTATATCATTATTGGCTGCCTGAAGCACTGTTTTTAGTGGAAAGGCAGGGTAGAGATACAACGCATACATTAGTTAATAAAGAAAGAAAGAAAGAAAGAAAGAACTTTCTCTGAGGTTTGGTTTGCAAAATCTGTGGGATAGGAGAGTGAAAATGGTGACAGCTATGGATGATATCAGGTATGGAAGGCCCTTAGCAAATAGGACAAAGCTATTTCAGTGGCTGCCCTATTCAGCAACAGCAGAGCAGCCCGAGGAAAAGGACGCGTAGCCAGAGGAAAACATTCATCATGGCATTTTCATTCCAGACAGCACGCAGTTGTGACAGGGGCAGGCAGGACATAATGTAAACCTAAGACAACAGGCACTGCTGTGACCGAGGATTACAGCAACTGAGACAAAGAGGACACAGATCTGAAATAAACAACCATAAGGAAAACATTTGCAAACTGCAAACACCACCACAAGTTTCTGGAAAAAGAAGGAAAGACCGGTTTTATATTTTAATATTAACAACAATTGAAAATGGCATTCTGCTTGTTACTCTTCAAAGATCACAGCACTTGCTATCAGCAACGAGATCTACAAGAGAAGACCTGGGTTAAAAAAGCAAGCCAGTGTTATGGAGCCGTGCGCCTCTTAAGTACCTCCCTAGCACAGCCTTCTCCATCCAGCAACATTCCTGTTAGCACGGAGGGTATCATTCTCCCATTTGATTTTGGGAAAAAGTCTCCCTCAGTTAACCAAGAGAAACTTACAAGAACTTAGCATTCTACCAGTGCATGCTCTGGGGAAGGTCCGTCTCAACCAGTGCTCGCTTTCTCCTCCAGTGCTCTTCTCCCTTCTCCAGTGCTATTAGTTAGGGATTTATGAAGAATGCAAGCCTGGGCAATTCCCATGTTTTCCTTTCAAGCCTTCATCAGCAAAAAGGTGAATAAACGGACCTTGAAATAGCCCTGCTTGCCCTTAGGATCTGACCATAGAAGCCATCGTGGTTTCTTGTACTGGGGTAATCATCCTATGCATAGCATTCCTCAGAACAAGACCTCCCTCTTTCCTCTGTGTTAGGAGAGGTAGCCTCTGTGTTCTTCTACCTCCGTTCTCCACTCTCCCAGTATTTTGTTTCTATTCTAACCTCTCCTTCATTAACCCAAGTAGGATTTGCATGCCTACATGGCACCAATGGCTTTATCCCCATTTCGCATGAGGCTCCTCTTTCCTTATCTCCACTTAGAGTTAACTAAAGAATACCCAGTCCAAGCTGAACGCTGCTTCACTCCTGGAATGACCTTGCATATTAAGCACGGTTGTTTGTTTGCTTTGTAATAACACTGTACATTCTTGATGCTAAACTTTAGTCCATTGTCTGATAGCTCATTCTGTAACTGTCCCAGGGCATTCAATGAGTCTTCAAGGCCCACCTCTACCATGTGGTCCTTCTGTACACATGAACGTTACACGTGTGGCCAAGGGCACATGGCAATACTACTGTGCTATCCTTTGTCTTCTGCCTTTGCTCTTCCTCTCAAAAGGTTTCTATTTACTCAGGACATATTCATTGTTTATTTTAATACTGCATGGAGTGATAGACTGCCCTCTGTGGACTGTTCCCACTATCACCCTTCTGTCCCGTATTGTAAGCCACCTAGGAAGGCCTCGGCAGTTAAAGGCAGCCTATGAATACATGTAAATAAATACATTCCAAGGGCCTAATTTTGTAGCCTCGACAAAGACATTAGAGCCAAGGAGCCCAGCAGAACTACTGGTGAGAACAATGGGCAGTACAAATCAGGATGTGCCAGAAACATGTTTTTAATGGAACCATTGGCAATTGTCTTTTCAAGTTAACAATGCAGTGCTATGTGTACCACTGGAACTGAGACCATTCTTCCATATTATTTTAATATTTGCTTTTGCAAGTGCACCTACCAAAGTGAAAATAGAATATATCAAAACTTTGCTGAGTTCTCTGTGAGTGGCAGGGAAGATACATAGCACTGCATGAGTGGCAGGGACAATTCACAGGGTTAAAGCCAACATTAGGTGAGAGACTTCCACTTGTGCAGCAGGACTCAGCCTTGCTCTCCAACCCACTGCATCCCCCCCACCAAATCTGCTCCAGGAGGTCTCCCAACCTCTGCAGCAGACAAGGGAAAGGGGCATGGAGGAATGGAAGTGAGAGGGCAAATCTGTTTGCTGGCCCTTGCTCATTCCACTGGCAAGCAGGCATCTCTGGGCCCAGCCCACAGATTCCCAGTGGGGGTATCACTACTATGAGTAACTTTCATGCATATGCACTCTTGAAAACAGTATGTAAATATATAGCAAAGGAGGTGTGCTTCCTATAAATGAGTTCATAGGGGATTAAGTTCCATGTATCATGTGGCCTTGGAGTGGGGACTCTGAAGATTGAGCACTGGACCTGCCCCCTTGCACCCAGCATGAAAAGGATCGTGCTGGCTGTGTCCCTCAACCTTGGGTTGTCAATATGGCTCAGAGGGGATAAAAAAGGGTGTGCCAAGGGTCGGAGGGAAAGGAAGGAACCTGGGTGCAGGGCATCTCACCCTCCTTCTCTTCCCCTTCTGGTCTTTTAGCTAGATGGATGAAAAAGACCGTTAGATACATACTGTGGTGTGAATGCAGCAGCAGCAGCAGCAGCAGCAGGGTCACTACCTTCACTCTTTGTTCAGGGCACAGGATGTGTGCCAGCCTCCAAGTTCAGAGGCTCATGTGCTCAGGCATGATAACAGGGCTGTGCCCAAAGCCACATCGAGCTTCAAGGGAGATTAAGTATGTGATTAGCTTTTGGGGACACAGAAGTGCTTATCAGCTATATCAGTTCCGGTTTGTCTCCACAAGCTACCAAGTGGTGGAATCACTTAGTATGACTATAAAAAACGTAACATATTATTCAGGCCTTCCAAACAATTTAATCCATCATCACATAAAAAGATTAATTTTGTCTTCCCAGATAATGGGAAATCTTAGAAATTGTACTTTCACTGACCTGGGTCTGCAGTATGTCAAAGG